CCTGGGTGACACACCTTTCCTTCCATAACCTTTTACAAGTTCATGTCCAGTAGAATTTTATCATTCAGCATTCTACCTATTACAAATGTTGCTTGACTCATGTCTATTAAGGATCCCATAACTGGTTGCAATCTACTTGTGATCATCTTTGAGATAATTTTGTATATAATGGTGCAGCATGATATTGGTCTATACTACTTGATAGAAGAAGGGTTCTTCACTTTGGGTATTAAGGTAATTGATGTATTGTTTGTGTACTTGTACATGGAGCCTTCATTAAAGAACTTCAACACAGCCTGCGTAACATCATCACTGATTATGTGCCATGTCTTCTTATAGAAGTATGCATTAAAACCATCCCCTCTTGGAGCCTTAGAGTCTCATATTCCTTGTAATGCTTGCACCACATCTTCTTTAGTGAAATGGGAAATAAGTTGTAACTACTTCAATCTTGTAAGTCCTGGACCCTTTCTCATTATATTAGGATTAGTAGCAGGTATGCTATTAGTTGACCTTCCTAGTAATCCTCTATAAAAGCTCACTACTTATTGCTCAATTCCTTCTGGTGTTTTGATCAATCTGCTATCATCACTTGTGAGCATTTTAATTTAGTTTTGTGTTGTTCTTCCTTTCATACTGGAAAAGAAGAAGGCTGTATTGGAATCACCTAATTTAAGTCACTGCACTCTAGATATCTGCTTATATATGCTTTCCTCTATCTTGCTCCATTTTTCTAACTGCTGTTTACTGAATTTTTCTGTATCAAACATATGTGCAGGGGTTGTAGTGGTCCTCATCTGAGCTTGTATGATAGCTAGTGTCTCCCAGAGTTGTTGGACCTTATTTGTTGTGCTTGCAAACCCCTTCCTGTTAAGACTTTTGAGTGCAACCTTTACATTTCTTAAATTCTGTCAGATGCCTCTCATACTTCCTTCTTTGTTATCCCATCCTTCCCGTATTATATTTCCAAATTCTGGATGATCAGTTAAGCAATTGAAGAATTTGAAAGGCTTCCCCCTAATATCCATTGTTGTTTCTAGCTCCATATACATTGGAGAATGGTCTAAAAACTGAGGATGTCACAACCCAAATTAGAGGTCCGCAACAGGCACCCGATACTTTACTCAATTGAGTACCAACGTAACATAACTTTCTTATAACACCATCATGGTTAAATGGACCGGAAGAGCCGTCATGATATAACCAGAATAAAACATAAGGGAATACTCGACACAAGACGACCGAAGATGTAATACAAACTTATAAATGAGACATACGGTCCTATAAGACCCAAAATGAACACTCATACACTGAACATAAGCTGACAAGGCCATACAATATTTCATATACATGACATATGTTTACAAGCCTCTAAGATTACATACACATCATAAAGGTTGGGATAGGGACCGTCCATACTAATCAATACATGCCAAATCATACTGACCAAATAGGCAACTCCGGAGCAAGTGGAGTGCACCAACACCTTTCGCTGAGCTGATAGCCTACTAGGAGGAATGTTAACCTATCTATTGGAACATGCAGGAATGCAATACAGCATCCCCAGGCAAAAGGATATCAGTACGAATAAAGCACCAAGTATGTAAGGCAGGAAATCATAAATAAGGATAGTAATGTAAAGAGAGATATAGGAGATACAACTTATAGCATCTGAGTGACTCTGAGGGCTACTAACATGAAATGCATGATACATATATATACATAAACTTTCAAAAACATACGCCTCTGTGGGCATCATCATCATCATATCATACCGACCTCAAAGAGGACTCGGTAAAATGTACCCAGCCATCATAAAGGAACGGTAGAATCGTACCCGGCCACGTAGAGCTCAGTAAAACCCAACTGATCAGTGGTTGCACAATTGGTGCCATACCCGGCCGACTATAGCGTGGCTCAGTAGAGTAAAATAGATACTATATATAATGCATGTTAGACTCATGGAATCACGTTCTAAAGCTTTCGGTATGACTTAAGGTCGTTTCACCTTCGATTAACATTATGGACATCCATACCCTAAATATGAACCTTAGTAGGATTCAAGAATCATACACAATTGCTTAGAATAACTTTATAAGGAAAGAACAACATGGACAACCTTAGTTGCTAGGAGTAGATCTGTTATGAAATAGCGTATTTATTTCCCTATCGATCATGCCAAAAGAAAGAAGCAAGTGCCTTAACATAACTTAAACCTATTGAGTCCTTAATACCTTCCAATCAACTCTTCAAACAAGTCAACTCAATCTATCATAGTATAAGGAGATTCAAAATCAGTGTTGAGCAAAGGCTAAGTCTGTAACTTAAGCTAGTAGCTCATTTACGTAAATTCAGGCAGTATCTTCCTTGTAACAAGGGTCTCCTCCAATACCATATACCAACAACAACCAGAGAAATCCAGCAATATATAAATATCAACAGCAAGACACCATATAACAACAACAAGTCACAACTACTTCACGACGAGCGACAAGCTCTGATTGGAATCCATATAACTCATATCACCCCTTATAGACTTCTTACATTAACTTAACAGTATCATTAACATGATAATGAAGCCATTAATCAATTATTCCATCTTTATACCATATATTTATAATAAAGAAAATAATCAGTAACTCCCACAATCTTCAATTAGTACCTTTATTCACTAGTTCATGTCTACTCCATCCATTTAACTTAATCAACATCAAGATAACCTTAAGAAAAATCAAGAACACAATATAATTACCTTCTACAGTGTATGCAAGTCGAAATCCATGTTACATTTAGCTTACAACAACCCAACTCAATCACTTTATACCCAAAACGACAACTATAGTAGTGTCAAACACGCCGAATCTATTACAAAGAACGACTAATCCACCATTTGTCCATTATGTGGTGTTTCTACATACCATTTTTCATCCAAAACTTCATGAAACATCAGCAACATATACAACCCAACAGCAACACGAAATAGCCCAAAAACAGCCCACAACAAGTCGAATAATTCGAACTCACTGCTTTCGATCACCATCCCGTGAGTTCTAGCTATTAGGAAATGAATTTATCAAACTTCATTCATATTTAAAAGCTTAAATACAGAAATAATGCATTTTCTTAACTATTAAATACCTTCCAAAACTCAAACTACAAAGAAAAAGAGAGGCAATATAGCGATACTTACATTGTAGAGATCGTTTTAATGTTATCGCTATTTGATTTCGTGCCCCGCATGATAATCTTGTTGGAAGCCCTTGTGGAGATCTTGAGGGAAAGTTTAGGGTTGTTATTTGGTCTTTCTCTCTAGAAAAATGGGGAAAGAGACGAGATAAGGGATGTAAATATCCCATTTTGTTGAAAAGTAAAAAAAGGTGCTACTTGGCACGCTAGCATTGGTCCTTCTTCCAACTCTTATAACTTTTTATCCGAGTGTCGTATGAGTGAACGGTTAAGAGAGTTAGAAACTAGATTCAAAGACCTTAAAATTGGTATATAATATGTCCCAAAAAGATCTCATATAACACACAAAATGTCTTTCTCAAAAAAGCTTGAGTGAGACACCTACTTACCACCTATGCAGTCTGTGCAGTCTTGTGAATCTGCAAATATCTCTATACTCCAATGTAGTACGGATTGAAATTAGACTTGTAGATCTTCAATTTGATATATGGATCATCCCGTAGTTCCAAATATATTGGGAGAAAAGCTTCACTTCATTTGACCTAATGTTTAGCACATTTATAAATGCAACTTGTGATGACCTTTGCCAACTTTTGTTCCACATCTCGCTTGTCTTTAAAATGTAACACACGACTATCATATCTAGTGGGAACCAAAGTCATCGTTTACATAGATAATTCAGCTATCAGATACTTGTTTGAAAAGAAAAATGCCAAGCCAAGGCTGATTCGTTGGGTCCTCCTACTGCAAGAGATTGACTTAGAGATCCGAGATAGAAAAGGGACAGAGAATCAAGTGGCTGATCACTTGTCCAGATTAGAAAATCGGAGCCATGTAGCTGAAGGAGAGTTAATCAAAGAAACATTTCCTGATGAGCAGTTATTAGCAATCACCTTAAGTGAAGCCCCGTGGTATGCAGAGTATGTGAACTTTATTGCAAGTGGGTGACACCACCAGAATTGACACCTGATAATAGAAGAAGATTTCTATATGATGTGAGGTTCTACATGTGGGATAAGCCATTCGTATATAAGCAATGTACAGATCAATTAGTACGAAGGTGTGTTCCTGAGGAGGAGATACATGAAATATTGCATGATTGTCATGATTCTCCATATGGAGGTCATCACGGTAGGGATAGAACTGCTCAAAAGGTGCTACAATCCGGTTTTTATTGGCCAAAATTGTTTAAGGATGCACATGCCTTTGTTAAAATATGTGACAGATGCCAAAGAACTGGAACGGTCACGAAGAAGCATGAGATGTCTTTGCAGAATATACTAGTAGTAGAGCTTTTTGATGTTTGGGGGATCGATTTCATGGGATCATTCCCATACTCTAATGGTCACGGGTACATCTTGGTGGCGGTCGACTATGTGTCTAAGTGGGTGGAGGCCATTGCTCTTCCTACTAATGACGCAAAGGTAGTGGTGAGATTTGTAAAGAAACACATCTTCACATGCTTTGGGACTCCAAGAGTGTTGATAAGTGATGGAGAAACTCACTTCTGTAATAAATTGCTGAATAATGTTCTTTCAAAGTATGGAGTTAAACACAAGGTTTTCACTGCCTATCACCCCTAGACGAGTGGTCAAGTGGAAGTTTCAAACAGAGAGGTAAAGCAGATTCTGGAGAAAACAGTAAGTGGAAATAGAAAGAACTAGGTAGGGAAGCTGGATGACGCATTATGGGCATATCGCACTGCATACAAGACTCCCATAGGTACTTCTCTATACATGTTAGTTTATAGAAAGGCGTGTCACTTGCCTGTTGAGCTTGAACACAAAGCCTATAGGGCGATTAAAAAGCTAAATATGGAGATGGACTTAGCCGGCGAGAAGAGGTTGCTACAACTCAACGAGCTTGATGAATTCTGGTTGTATGCATATGAAAACGCTAAATTATATAAAGAAAAGACCAAGAGGTGGCATGATAAGCATATTCAACATCGCGAGTTTGAGCCAGGTCAGGAAGTTCTCTTGTTCAATTCAAGGCTAAAGCTTTTTCCCGGGAAGCTTAAGTCTCGATGGTCGGGTCCTTTTGAAGTGGTTAGTGTGAAACCTCATGGAGTAGTGGAATTGCATGATATGAGCTCCAATGCAACATTCTTGGTAAATGGGAAGAGAGTAAAATATTATTGGGGTGGTGACATTACATATCGCAAGACTTAGATGGACCTGGCTGATGCGTAAAGAACGTGTTGCTCGTGCCGCGATGTTAAATCAGGCGCTTCTTGGGAGGCAACCCAAGTATTTTCTTTTGTTTTCGTAGTTTGTTCATTATTTTTATTTTTCTAGGAGTTCCTTGAATTTTTTTGTAGGAATTATTTCTTGTATGTATTTATGAATAAAAAAAAGCCGCTCCAGGTGTGGGAAAATAGGGTGGATGCGTCGCATCCCCCTCAGCATGATAAAAAGACGGAACAACTGCACAAGGCAGTGAAGTGCGCCCATCACGTCCCTAGCCGCGTCCAAAATCAAATTTAGAAAAACAAATTGGATGTGTCGCGTCAAGCTCGCACTCACAGGTAAGTATATTTTTAACACATGATAAGCCTAAACCTCCTAAAATCCATCTTCCCAGACGCTCCTCTCATATCACCTGAAACCATCACACTGCCTTACCACAAACGCAATAGGTATGTACCTTCTTCCTCATTCTTTTCTTCTTTTCTTCTCTCTCTTAACTCTTTTATCTTCTCTCTCTCTCTCACTGGTAGCAACAGAATCCCCACCCCAAATTCCCCTAGGTTAGGTTTCAATAAGTTGAATACAACATATGTGATGTAAAGGGGAAACTAATTTTTTTTGTTTTATTTTGAGGCTGGTGGGTGTTGTTCTTGCTGTTTGTGATTGTTGTTAGATGATAAACTAGAATTCCCTTCATCTCGTCAAATTTGGGAGGGCAATCAAATTGACCAATTGTTAGAACAAGCTAAGCAAAACTATTGCATACCACATGTTTGACGAATTACCTGTGAGATAAATTTAGGCGCCGGCGAAGTCTGAGTAACCGAGCGACACTGGTATATACTAGTGAATAAGTGTGGGGTCGTTTGATGAATTGTGTAGATCGTTTGTAAGTGTTGGAGTTATGGGTGGTCGCCACTCATTCAACTCATGTGTTTGAGGCATGCAATGACCATGTGGCATTCAAGTGACTAACGACTTGATTGAATTGTATGAAAATAAGTTGCTAAACTGGTTGTATTGTGGAGTATTGTATGAAAATAACATTGTCCAACAACTGCTTTTGTGCGCTTTGAGCATATTGGTATCTACTAGTGAACAAGTGTAGGGTAGAATGCGTTATTATATGTAATTGAACATGGTTTGTGAGCATGAATAGAATCACTCTTCTGTTGTGCATCATAATTTCTATGAAAAATGCATTGCTTACTTGTGAATTTAAATGAGGCACCAGTTACTTCATCCTGGTTGAAAGCCATGGGTTGTATTCATGAAGAACTGAATGGCATGACATAAAATTGATTCGAAGTGCACATTTTTGCATAGCTGTTCTATCTCTAAAATGTCAATATTTTTGCATACTAATTTGTGATTTCTATGTATCCCGGGTACCTAGGTTCACAAAATAGCGGCAAAAAGTAAAATGTCCAAACAACAAGAGAGAGATAATAACAAATAACCACCTAAAAAGCCTACCGGAAAGGCAACATGTACTCCAAAGCCACCAAACAAAAGGAAGCGGACTGAGAAAGCAAAGGAACTGCCGACTAGGCAGTTCTGAGCAAGAAGAGGAGGAACCATTGGTAAGAAGGACGGTGAAGAGGGGTACTAAAACAACATCATCAAATCCGCCATGCAAGGGGATAGAAATTAGAGAACCTGTGCCACACCAAAGCCAACCTTCTAAGTAGAGTGACCCGAGAGAGAAAGGGAAGTAGAAAGCTATTGCAGAATCTAAGTGCGAGTCTGATTCGGATGATGAGCTCTCACATGTCGACATGAGTGATGAAGATGAGGGAGAACCAATAGACCGAGCTGCCTGGGAAGATAAATTTGTTAGTGAAAAGGCGTTCCGAGCTTATGAAAAGATCCTAGGTTCAAAGAAGTATATTCCAGAAAAACCAATCAGCATTGGAACGCTTAAGAAAAAGTATCCAGATTTTCTGAAATCCATTCGAGAAGTGCAGCAATGGGGGCCTATCTTGAAGGGCCATGGCAAGGCCAACCTCACTATTGTTAGAGAGCTTTAAGCCAATTGGCGTCATTTTCGGGGCAGCATTGTGAGAGTAAGAGGGGCGGACATTAATGTCTCAGCTGAAGCTCTTAATAATTTCTTGGGGGTGCCACGCACACCAACGGACAGGTTTGACTCTATGTGCAAAACACCTGATTATGCACATATTAAGTCTGTTTATACCCTACCAGGAAAGATGCAGATTGGAAGCATAGTAGTGTGGAGTGACATTCTCTGTCCAAAGAATTCATGAGCGCATTCGTACGGGCAGTTCTAAACTTCCTACGCAACTGCTTGATGCCATGCCAACACAAAACCGATGTCCCTCGACACCGAGCACTAGTGTTGTGTGCTTTATTGTAGGGGACACCACTCAACCTAGGGGTCATCATGCACGACCAGATGCAGTGCACTAGGATGAACTACATGTGAAGGTTGTTCTTTGCAAATACCTATCGGCTTACTTGATGGAGATGGGAGTAAAATGGGACAAGGAGAATGATGACATTGAAGCTAAAGCTTCAAGACCATATGATGTTACTCATGTACTAGAGCCGAACAAAGGAAGGTCCTCTAAGCTCACCATTCAGCAGTTATCTGAGCAATTGCAAGCCGATATGCAAGAGAACAGGGATGAATTGATAGCGACTCGGGTAGAGTTGAGTGCTACTAGAGCTGAGTTGAGTCAGACGCGTGCGGATCTGAGCTGAATCCAAGCTGTGCAGGCCACGATGATGAGGGAGGTATCATTGCTCCTCTGTGCTTTAGTTGAACGTACAGATATAGATATCTCAGGGATGCTTGCATCGTCCACTGCTGGACCATCTACCTCAGCCCCTCCTATAGTCCCTGAGGCTCCATCCTCTATGCCTACTAAGGCTGCCGTGTTGCATACTACAGACTCAGTTCCCCTTGGCGATGATAGGACTGTGACCGAGCTCCCTATTCAAGAGGCTGCTATTGCAAGTCTAGATGAGGCCATGATAGATGTTGTGGATGCTTCGAGTACCCACTCAGATGTTGATGCTACCTCCGTCCCGACTACCCATACCACTGCTACTGCTGCTGCTCTTCCGCCGACTGCGGAGGATCCCTCCACATTGACTTGAGGGAGTTTCATCTCACCCTACTCTGCTTTGTTTGTATGCATTGGGGACAACGCACGGGTCTAAGTGTGGGGTGGGGGTTATTCATATTTTTGTGTAGATGAATGTACGTAACTATTACAATTTTTTGTTGCTTTTGATACTATTGGGGGCTGTAATATTCACTGAATTAATGGCCTGTAATAGTTAGTAAATTTATCTATATGTAGTGACTCTTAGACTCTTGTGGTGTTTAGTTGTAGTAAGTAGCCATATACAAAAAAAAAGAAAAAAAATCAGAAAATAGAAGACTTTTCCCGACGACGGACTACTTGGACAGTTCTCTCGAGGGATTAAGGTCCTTAGAAAAGCATAAAAAAAGATTTTCTTAGCCTTGAGTAGTTAGTAAATGTAGTCTATTAGGCAATAATCTCCCTTGGTTTTTCTTTCGCCATCGGTTCTTTTCCAATGGATGAATTTTTGAACCGGGTATTAGTTTTTCTTTTTAGAGTAGTGTAGCATGTAAAGACTCAGACTAACTTCCGCATATTTTGTGACTTGTTTGATACTAACAGAGTTAGATCTGAGCATGTAGATTATAACTTTTTCCATGTATTATGAGGACTATTTTTGCCTTTAAAAGTTGAATAGCTTCTTCGTGATGCTTAGGCTCATTGTCTTGACCCCTGCGCTAACTGTTGTGCTGTGTGCATTAAAATTTGGGGCTTAACTCAGTACTTGATTTGATTGAAAGTTGAAATGTAGTCATCCTAGGTTAATCATGTGCCAATGTGTGGTGAGATTTTTTGTATAAGTCTCGTGTTGTACATTTGTGTCTAGAAATTGCCTGTTATGTGAGTTGAAGCGAAATCCTAGGTTTTACTCTGTTTGAAATATGATTTTAGGCTTTCTTTGATCCTTTTGCACTATAATACTACCACAAATAAAATCCATCCCTAGCTAACCCTTTTGAGCCTATATACTTTTATTTGGCACCCATATTACAAGTCTATACCCTTTTTGTTCTTAATTAATATTATTTTGATCCTTTACCTCTTAAGGCAATTTAGTTGCAAAATGAGCGCTTATAGAAGTAAGAAGGGACTAAGTGTGGGGTGGCTTTTGAGTGGAACCAATGAAAGAAAGAAGGCATTTATTTTGTAAAATAATACACCACTAGCGAAAATCTGAAGAAAAAAAATGGAGATAAGGAAAACTGAATAAATTGTTGTCCTATTCTTGCTAGTGGGGTATACATTAAGGTAATGCTTAAAGAAAAAGGGAACGTTGATGGGAGTGAATTTTGTTGAAAAATGAAAGTTGGGATTAAAGAGTTGGCGCTCAAAATTAATTATGTGATGTGTTAAAGTGCCTAGAAGGGTGACTACTATTCCTAAATATATCCTACCCGTCCCTTAGCCTACATTATAACCATGAAAACTCCTAATTGATTTGAGATCGAGCAAGCCTACATTAGTAGATATTTACATTAAGGGCAAGCATATGGTACCTTTTGTGCGCATGTGAACTTCATTGAGAGAATTCTTCTACTGTTTTGAAGTCCTTAAATTACATTCAAATTTTATTTGAGTGTGCGGACTATCTTTCTCGATTTTGTGGTGAGGGCACATCTTTCATGATGGATAGGCGACTTTATTAAAATTTTCAGTCAGAGTGAGTAAGTTGGCCTAAAAGTAGTTATCTTAAGGAGTCAGTTTCTGAGGGTCAGATGTCCTAAATGTGCTATTTGATTGGTTTGAATTGTCCAATAGTGTACTTGACGTATTATTAACATGGAGAAGGAACTCCGAGAATGCATATGCAAGGGGCTAATTGTTGGTATCAATCAAAGTCATGGGTGCTTAAGCTTAATTGAAATGTGT